GATTTGGTATCTCGCTTTGTGAGAAAAGGTGATCACTGACAAAATTACGTACACCTTACATGTAATGAAGCACGCATTAAAGGTATGTGTTCCCTGTGTTTCCCACCTGCCCTGGTTCCCGAGTGCGTCCACAAATGAAGGGGAGTCCCAATGGACGTCGGCCAGGGCTCTACCCAGCTGAGGGGGTCCGGGGGATGCTCCCCCTGAAAATTTAGGATTTTTAAGCCTTCAAAAACGCATTTTCCCGCATTTTGAGAGGCAAATCATGGTGTCGAGAGTGTTTGTCGGTCCTTCTGATGTTTTCATATTTTTACGCAAGATTTTTGTTAATCTTTGGTCTGTCAAGGTTGACGGATTCGTTAAAAAGATTCTGTAATTCTCCGCTCCGCAAACTTCCGGTAATTGACGGAAAACTGGTTCTGGCTAGATCTAGAGCCGAAGGGACCGAGCGCAGAAGCGCGAGTCGAGCGCCAAAGGCGCGAGCAATGTAGGGGGGTCCGGGGGCATTCTCCCCCGGGAAATTTTGTATTTTTAAACCTTCTATGACGCATTTTCCTGCACTTTGAAAGGCAAAATTAGGCGTAACGAAGAATTATTCATTAACGCTTAACGCTGAATTTAGGATGACAAATAACGTTAACGTTGAATTAAAACGACCAATAACGCTTCACGAAGAATATACTGATAACGCTTAACGTTGAATTAGAGCAGGCCGGCAACGATTAACGGTAAATTAAAATAGCCCATAACGGTAACAAAAAAGGGCATGCAGACCCTCATGGAAGGTACATCCTTGGCAGCGCGCTGTGGAAGGTCCGCGGGAGAGCGCTATGGAAGGTATATCATTGGCAGCGCGCTGTGGAAGGTCCGCGGAAGAGCGCTATGGAAGGTATATCCCTTGGCAGCGCGCTGTGGAAGGTCCGCGGAAGAGCGCTATGGAAGGTACATCCTTGGCAGCGTGCTGTGGAAGAGGTGTGTGGAAGTGTCCTTGTGGGCCTTCGTACGTTTCCGACAAGAATTTCGAACATTTTCTAGTGAGATCAATTCTTGGGTTTCAGTCACGTGACCCGACCATAGCGACGGGTGTTATCCGCCATGTTGGTGTACCTACAACCCCGCGTAGCCTATGCGCTATGTACATGGTTCATTGTTTTGTAGCTGGTTGCGGGTCAAAAAAGTGGTAAACACAGTGTATCTTTTCAATGTGTGCCAAGGTGATTACAAATCAAGGAAAGGACCAAGAAAAACTGACCGAAAAACATCGCAGATTGTGGATTTTTGCGATCAGCCGCGGGGATACGGCCACAGAAATATCCCGAGATTGTGGCGAGTTACTATCGCCAAAGACTCTGGGCAAGCTTCCCCCGCCTGGGTCCGACACAATGTTGCCTGGGTCCCTACTAAAAAAAACCTTGGAAGAAAGAAGTACAGAGATTGGGACGAAAGCAGAAGGAGGGGCGAGGGCCGAAAGGGCGAGAGAACGCAACAAGCGGGCCGCGGAACAGTCGGGTCTGGCGGCTTGACCGGGCGGGGCTTCTGACGCCAAAAGCCGCCCGACGCCACACAATGCTGCTGGATATCGCGTACGTGATCTTCCCTACACCGAGGTCAGAAATGTTCCTGTACATGCAGAAATTGCACCCAGGAATTTCTATTAAACATCGACTAAACAATAGTTTACACGGTGCAAGTGAATTTATTTTGATACACGTGGCAGTCTGACTCAATTTGAGCCTAAGTGCTAAAACTCCGAGTTCACCCTGACAGCCCAACAACATTACCGATCTTAGCACTAAAATTGCGTTAAGATTCTGCTTATCATGATACCCTAATATTGTAATGTCAATGTTCACAAGCTAATTCATGCATAGGTTGTGAGAGGTTACCCAAAAACTTTTTTTTTTCACGGCAAAACTACAACTACGGGTACGTAAACAAAATTATGCCCGGAGGCTCCCCTCCCAACGCCGATGATTTTTAACTCCCGCAAACTCGAGGCGGCCAACAAAATTTCTGTCGACAGGGATGACAAGCTAGCCGTCATGTGAAATTCTCATTCTAATGGGGTTCCAACAGAGACATGAGTACTTTTTGGTGCTTGAAAAAATATTCATAATGAACTCCAGTTTGTCAGCGGCGAAACCGAAGGGGCTAGATGAAAGTGCACAACAAACAAAGCCGCCGGCGGGCATGAATCAAACTGGCATTTTGCATTATTACACACAGAAGCCATAATTTTGAAACAGCAACCGATAGTAAAACAAGGATTTACATTACCAAGAAAAGCTGAAACTTAGGCTTACCATAATTTGATTGGGGATAACCCGTCCGCTCCACTCGAAATTGTTGTTTACCATTCCGCTACGCGAGCGAGTCACAAGTTGTCGCGAGAAGGAATCAGACACACGGGTGACCCGCGCACAGTGAACTGTCCAAAACACACTTCCCAGAACCTCTCTCTCTCTCTTAAATCATTTATTGAGAAAAAAAATAGACTAGAGTGACCAACATACGGATCCTGTCCACTGTAGGACTGTGAAGGAGATACTAGTAACGTTAGTCTTTGAAGTTCGTTCACACATACGCAAGTTTTGTCGTCCTATATCCTTTGTCATCGTATCCTTTGACTTCCTATCCTCTAAAAAATGTACAATTTCATTGAAAACCTTGATGTTTGACGGGTGAATTTCCTGGTAAACAAGACGTGCATGCTTTAGCGCGAGGCTTTCTCCTCTCTGACATTCTTTAGTTTAATCAGAGACATACAAACGTGCGAACACGTGCTAAACACTTTTAATGGCCAAAAGTAAAGCCTCGGTCACACCTAGAACCGACCAACAACCAACCAACCAACCGTTGGCCCTTCGACTGCAAGGTTTGCTGAATTCGACGTTCGGCAGCAGTCTGAGCTTGCAAACTTGTGAGCGATATGATATGATAAATGTCATCAAAGCGATGTGAAGAAGAAAATATGAGAAAAAGATGAAAATGTCTGTGTGTGTGTGTGTGTGTGTGTGTACGTATGTACGTGTGTGTGTGTGTGCGTGCGTGTGCGTTTTCGTGTGTGTGCGTTTTCGTGCGTGCGTGCGTGCGTGCGTGCGTGCGCGTGTGTGTTTAAAGGTTAAACATTGGCTGGCGTATACGACCAGTAGCCAACCTTGCAACCCTACAGTTTTAGCCAGTATAGGCCAGTATAGTGGATACCCCTCAATCCGCTGCTCCCTCGTGAATGTTAAAGGCATCCAGTTCAATTCCAGGGCAGCAAAACTGGATTTTAAAAGTCGATTTTCCTGCCATTCTTTTAATGTAGTAAGGCCACAACAAGTAATCTTTATGGATGATGTTAATTTTGCCTGATTTTGGAAAAAAAATGTTGCCCTCTGATAGTGGTCAACACTGGGCAAAGATGTCTGTTGAAATGCCGGAACGTGGAAGGAAGATAAATAAAAAGAGAGGAGACAAGACAAGACAATGTTTTAATTTTGTTTGACGCAGTGATGTATTTTATTCCTTTCATATGTGACGGTGGCTGTGTACATTGTGATGTTCCCACTGAATCAAAACCATTTGTACAATGATTGAATTATCTTTTATTTTTCAAAGTTGTTTCAGTGAACTCGAGAATTAGATGTTGTAGTTGTTGGCAGTAAACTTGAGCACAATTAAGGTATCATTTCGTGTTTATTAATTATCAAGATTTATGATGTCAAAATTTGTAGGGAAAATGTAGGGATCTTGTTCTTTTGGCCCGCCTTATTACCTTCGCCAAGAAGGTTATGTTTTCAGTAGCGTTTGTCTGTCTGTTTGTCTGTCTGTCTGTTTGTGAACAGCATAACTCAAGCTTAATATGGATTGTCATGAAACTTGGTATGTGGGTAGGTCTTGATGAAACCTAGAAATGATTAGATTTTGGGCCCCTTGGCGGCTTTTGTTGGTACTGCAGCAGAACTTCCGGTTTTGATATCTTGCGATCTAGACATGCTAGGGTCACGAATTTTGGTTGTTAGATAGCTTTTGGGGTAGGGAAGATGTGACCTGAGTTTAGACCCCCTAGCAGCTTGTTCTGGAACTGCAGGAGCATTTCTTGAAAAATCTCCGAAGGTGATAACTCAAGAACTGGTTGACGGATTGTCATGATTTTTGGTATGTAGGTACCTGAAGTGATGCTTTACATAATCAGATGACAATTATGCAAATCAGGATCTGATTTACATAATCAATTTTTTGAGGAAATTCTATAAATCTGCTTCGTTCGATAATAGGACTATGAAACACTTGTGACATGTAATTGAGAACTAGAAAAACATCTGAGGATATACATTATGTAAATGAAGACCTAATTTGCATAATTAATGGGAAATTGTTATAATTTCATAGTTGTAATTGCTGGGAATTTCATACTTGCCGTATTTGGAAGTTAAGTTAAGTTAAGGTGAACATCAAGGAAGATAAGTTAGTCACATTATGACCTCATTTGCATAATTGGTGAGGAAGTGCTAGAATAGCCTATTTTGTTAAGATAAGGCTATCATTGGGTGGAGAATATGATCAACTGATGTAATCCATGCAAATGACGCTCTTATTTGCGAAATCAATTATTAAAATTGTATAATTCGTCAACCGCAAGGGTTAACATCATTTGGCGAAGGTATGAGATCGTGGAACTCTTGTTATTATTATTTTTCGCCCTATCGCATTTACAGATTTGGAGTCTGTGGAGGATGTCGTCCATAAAATTTACTTGATCTGGCAGTCAAACCTCCAAGGCCGCCAAACTCCCCTGACAAATATTCTCCTATATATAGCCAGCGTAGTTTGTCTGGTAGAGACTACTAGTACTTGGCGATGGTAATGCGTGAACAGAAACTAGGGGATTCCCCTTCAGAGTGACGTGTCACGCACACTTCGGCCATATTCGGGAAACCGAAGTAAGTCGTGTGGCCCCGCAGACTTCCTAATTTGGTCATGTCCGTACGACGGACATTCCCGAACGTCCCTCCTATGGAAACCCGGAAGTAGTGGGACTTTCCCAGAAACGGGTGTCCAGAAAAATGTTCTCACGTCTTTGACGAGTGTACTTTGGCAGTCCTGCGCTGTGACGCCTCCTTCTGCGTGCGTTAACCCGCTTAGTGTGCTGTCAGGGACTCACTAGGGCACAGTAAGTTAACTTTTGTTTAGAAATTAGCACCATACGTGCTGGCAAACATCGTGTAAAAACAGACGGGGGGAGGGGGGCGCATGGAGATGGTTGAAATGACGTTGTACTTTGCGCACTACACTTCCACCATACGACAATTTGACTTATTACTTACTTAAAGCTGCAATTTGTAACATTTTAGAACGACACAAAAATTTGCTGGTCATGTCCTTACAGCTAGTTTAATCGATTTTGCTCCACTGCAAGTAACTGCCATCAGGAAGTTGAAAAAAAAAAATTAAAAGCTGGAAATATCTGTCAGCCATATTTGTTTACTTACTAGTATTTTGTGGTGGTATCCTTGTGTGGGGTCTTTTTGCGTCAACCTTCAATGTTAGATGTGAGATGATTGCACCTGTATATGTTGATAAGTGCAAGGATTTTTTTTCAATTCAAATATTTCAATTTTGATGCAAAAATGTTATGTTATGTTATGTTATGTTATGTTATGTTATGTTATGTTATGTTATGTTATGTTATGTTATGTTATGTTATGTGCAAAAATGTTACGTTAAAAAATAGTCACGCCTTTAAAGTAGATTTATTTGAAAGATTGAATCTGTGAAAAAATATCATGACTTTTCCTGTTGTACATGTACGTTCATAATACCTCAGTGACATAATTCTATAAAGAGCCTCCGACTCATCAGAGCCTGTGTACAGTATTCCACATAATTGTCACCCTCTGCTATGTAATCATGACAAATATAAACTTAATCGAGTAAAGAATTCTGGAGTTATTGGCCTGGACTCCAGAATTAGATTGTTTTTCCGGAATTAAATTGCGGCTTGTTACATTGTAAAATAATTTTTTTCTTGTCCTGCATAACATGTTACAGACCTGTTACTGCAATAAAATGTTCTCTAGGTATATCTGTTTTTATACTACTGCAAATTTGGTGCCATATGGTCGGTTTAAGTTCTAGATAATTTAAAAAAAAGCAACAAAAAAAAATTATGTGCTAGTATTAGACTTGAAAACCATTCAAAATCATCTCAGTATCATCAACTCTGGTATATTTAGCAGTGATTCACCACATTCCTACATTCTCTTGTGGGTATTTTTGTGTGTGAAAGGGGAACCCCAGTACTTCAACATTCAGTTTCACCTATGACCTATAGCTACCAGCTTGTGACGTGTGGACTGTACCATCAGGTAATAACTGATAGGGACACAGACATGAAAATAAAAATATAAAACACTGCTTTGAATTAACAATGGCTACTTTCTTCTAATAGTGAAAAGCAGGGGATTTATTCAAATTCATAACTATAGACAGAATGATAATAATATACCCAGTAGTGTCAATTCTTTGTTCATATGTACTTTACATACCAGTAGCAGACTTATAGCCTGCACCCCCATTAAAAAGCTAATGGGCTTTACCTACTCTAACCAGTGAAACAACAGCGATGTCAGTGTTTATTCTTACTCTCAGTTTAGTGAAGTACATGTAGGAAGCAATTGTTACTTATCAGATAAAATTGACACTTCAGATCGATATGAACTGCACCATACAAGGTGAGAACTACAGTAGATTATGAAAAAGTACTTTTTCTGTTAGCTTGGAGGACCACATTCTACATAATATTTTTCAAAAATCAAGAATTAGATAGAATAAACTTTGCAACATAACCTTTTCTCTACAGAGCAGTCTTTGATGGCACCCACTTGTACTAGTATTGACATAATAACAGTTGTTAGTTATGTATATGTCTTACCGGTAATGTTGCTGGATATTTGACAAAGCCAACTTCACAGGTGGCTGGTCTAACTCTAAATGTGTGCATTTCACAGCTGCAGCATTGTGAAGCACCTGTTTCCCCGTATCATCTGATGGCAGCGCTGGCACATGCCCACCTGAAACACCCTCAGAGACACCAGGAGAATGTTGTCCACGTACGCAGCATGAGCAGTAACAGTGGTGATGATCGCCTTCCCTCGTACCTACCTGAAGACGAACTGAACGCTTGTCTGAGAACCGTTCCCTCCAGCAGCCAGGATCATTTCCTCCATCCGGTCAGTCCCGAACGTTTCACTTCATCTGAGGAGTATGGAGACCTGTACAGGAGCAGTAGCAACAGCAGTAACCGAAGAGTGCCCCAGCCTGGATCCCTGACTACACAATATCCCAGTTACCTCCCTGAGTCAGATGAAGACACTGAGGACCACAGGCAGTTGTACAGCTCTGGTAGAGCACAGGAGGTCAACTACGAAAACGCCAAACTCCACGCTAGAAGTGGACGACATCCCTCGGTTAAAACCGACACCAGAAAACCATTAAATGGAGTGAAGAAATCTGTCATGCAGCAAGTAAGTCAAGGGGAAAATAACAGGAATAAAAAGATTTCTACACAAGATAACCACAGGAAAGAATCAAGTCATTTGTCCTCTGGCCTAGACAGCCTATCTTCATATCTTTCTAACAGTTTTGAGGGTGAAGAAATCGGTGTGACACTCCAAAAAAGTACAACAGGTTCTAGTCACAAAGATGCCTCTCCAGGCCTGGGGGGTGTAAGTATCCATGAATCTGTTGGTAGGCCGAGCCTTTCCCAGCGGACACAGTCAGGTGATTCAGTTGACTCATGTCAGTCAGCCAAGACCGCCTTCGCACAAGAACTAGGAGAGACATCAAGGGAGAAAAGCACGACTAGAGCAAACTCTAAAAACTTTCACATGGATCAGCTGGATTCATCTGCTCACAGTGGACATGCTGTTGTAGAAGAACTGGCCGAGAGCATGAAGAAGACTTTAAGAAGCTCTAGATCTCCTGGTACTTCAAACAGTTCTCCACAGCAGCAAGTTCAAATGCCACGACAGCAAACCCCCATGCAGACCCACACAAACACTCCCCCCATGCAGATCCCTGTGACGTCCTTGCAGGCAGATGACATTAGTAGTGGAACAAGTGCAGGAACTTCTGGAAGCCAGGGGCAAAGTTTGGGCCCTCAAAGTGGCTGGTCTTTCCATCTACCAAGAAATGGCATGCGCATGGAGGTCCCCAAATCAAGTCCGTCTTACAGTACAGGTGTTCTAAAAGAAGACGAAAAATGTCACCAAGACAGAAGCCTGTTACTGCGCTCCTTACTGCCAAGTCAAGTCACGAGTCATCTCAGTGAGGAAGATCTGGTCAAGGAAGCTAAAATAATGGCTCTAAAAACAGCTTTGACACGACTTGTTCAGGAGAAGCCTTCGTACCTTGATTCGGATCCAGAATCACTGTTGAGTCAGCTGTCAGATTTGATTTTTCAAAATCAGGAAAATGAGCTGACAGGCAGAAATTGTGAGGATACGGCAAGCCTGGCGGCAATGAGTCTGCGGTCTATGGTCAGCCAGAGTCTGGGTTCACTTCGAGAGATGCTGTCAACTGCCAGTACTATGACAAGTGTCATTGGTGCAGGTTTGTATTGTTGGATTTGTATATCATTGCTTTCTGATTGTTTTACATATTGGTATAGAAGAACTTCAATGGCAAACTTTTTAGTAGTTGAAACATTAATCTAAAAGGAGATATGCAACTATATATACTTGCTTGGTCCATACACTTAAACAACAAAAAGGCTTCAGGGGATAAATGCACAAGTCTCTTTCAAGACATTCACATGTCATAATGATTGTATTCCTATTTCTTTTTCCATATGATAAAGGAAATCGTCCAGGAGCCATGGCCCCCTCAGCCAACCAGTCACAAGAACACAATCCATCCAGCCAACACTCAATGACCAATGAGCTGCTGTCAACCATCTTCATCAGCCAATCAGAGGCAACAGCTGCCCTGACCAATGAACAGAATGAATTGCTGAGTACCCTCCAATCAGCAACTGCAAAGCTGTCATTGGTGCAGGAAAACATCCAATCAGAACAAGTTACAGTTGGAGGGATGATAAAGAACGGACAAGAATCACAGCAGGTATATGAATTTTTATCTTCAACAAAACAACCACTTTTTTTATGTAATGGATTGGAAAATTAAATAGATTATCGTTCAACTAACCAGAATTATTGTTGCTAGAAAAGTGTCATTACATTCTATCCATTCAATTTGCCATTGGGAAGTTTATGTTGGAATATTACTGCAAAAGGATGAATTGTTTAAAGGGAAGATTTGGCCCAGGATACGCTGTGTTGCTGCTTATATTTTTCAATTGCTGCTTATATTTTTCAATTTTTAGCTGTCATCAACTCTCCTTGGAACACTTTTAAAATTCCCATTGAGTTTTATTTAGTTGAGAAAAAGAAAAAAGGACAATTTTGTCCAGGTGATTTTGAATTTTTAACTGTATTCCTCCTTGCCCACAGCATCACCACGCCAGGTTACTGGACATTCTGGAGCTGCTGTGCCCTGAGTTCATGAAGCATGTGTTGGTCGGTGCAGCTTACTGCTGTGGAAGGTGTAAACAGCCAACCTGCATGCTGGTAAGGAATCTCAACAAATCAAACAATTTTTTAATTACATTTAATACGTAATAATGTTGTAACACATTGGAAAAAAACATTGTGAAGTCTTCTTGACCTGAAAAGCTACAATTTCCATCCAAAAGTCTTGTCATCTCAGGTCTCGAAATACTGGGTGCATGTGCATATGGATAGTAGCATATTGGTGCACCCGCAATTAGAGCTGTGCACCCAATTTTTTTCTGTGGGTGCACCCAAATATTTTTGTACTAGTAGGTATTTTTGTACATATTAAAGGTATAATAGTGTACAGGATATTCTTAACATCTAAGGCCACACCAATTTATTTCCTTGGTTAACGGATTCGCCGCTTCGTTTTTTTGCCAAAATGAAATAAAAATAAAAACAGAACAAAAATCCATACTCTCGGGTCCCGAATGGGGCCCCAAAATCCACCCGGTACGTTGTCATTTTTCAAAATTTGGGCATAGTTAACAGCGTTAAAAATACACTGCTTCAAGGCAGAAACATTTTTCTTTGTGTAATTTGTTCGGAAAGCTAGGTTGCCTCTTCAAAAGTTCGTCAAAAAAAATTATTTTGATATAGAACTCGCCCCCCACCCCCTTTGCACATGTCACCATTCATGGGACAAAACTTCACTGACGACAGTCAAACGTACGGCAGATTTACTAAGTCATCGTGCCTGTAACAACATATCATTTCCCTTTTAGATATATATTATATTTCATTTAGAAGCACATATTGTGTCGGAAACATGTGCTAGTAACGGGCGTTAAAAGTAAATTATCGGCCGGACGTATATAAACTCGGCCTGGGCGGCACATGCACACACACCTTCAAAACGATCTTTTTTCCAGGGAATATGTAAAAATAACACGACATAACAATGTATTCTGGCATCACAAACTGTATTACCCTCAAAAAGTACAAAATCCTACCACAAACATGGGAATTTGGCAAAGTAAAAAGTCCTCCATGCACGTAAGTCCATTCACTAACTTTCTCACGGTCGGAAGAGTCCACTTCGAGTAGGGGGAAACAGGTTCTTTTAATTATAGAAATTACTCTGTGAAAAATACTACATGTGCATGTGGCATTCTAACAAAGTTACATATTATTTAGATACCTATAAACAGGAGTACAATTGCAAATAATGCATCAATTATTACATCTAAATTTTTTAATAAAATGGTTTAAAAATAAAAATCCCCATACATCAAAGACTTTATAGTGAAACCCTAGACCATTGAATTTGTGGCAACTTGAAGAGTGTGTCAATGTGGCTATTTGTTTGAATGATGGCTATGTACTAGTATAATGTAGCTGTAGCATACCTAAAGTGTATAATGGGAAATATAAAATGTATACTACCGGTAGTATTTGGGAATTGGGGAAAGATAAAGAAATAAAATATCTGTAAAAGTAGTTAATTCTTTTGCCAATAACTTTTACACATTCCTGGAAATTTGTCTAAAGCTTATATTTAGGATATTGTACATTTCAAGCTCTAAATAACTTCCATATCAGCCAGACACAATAGAATGCCCAGCCCCGTGGTAAGCTGTGTGCCCTGAACTAAGAAAACAATGGGATCTGAACAGAGCACCCTGATTTAAACCACTCTTTGGAACTTTGAAAGATGAATAAAAGTGAAACCAGTTGGATGGGAGTCTTGTCAACTGACACTCAGTGACAGTTTGTTGTTCAACAGTAAAGATGTGTATCTTGCAAAATAATACGAATAATTGTAAAGGGATGTAAGAGAAGTTGTTCATGTACATGTAGTAATGGTCCTTTCAGTTCAATAAGTGTCTAATATAATGTCTTATATCATTTTGTAACTTAACTTAATGGATTGCTTACTACATGGCTGTATGGCAGGTGGTCTCAAATTTTTATTTTTATTTTTTTTTCGCCCGCCCGCTCCATTTTTTTGCTAGAAAAATCCGTTAACCAAGAAATTAAATTGGTGTGGCCTAAGGGTCAGAAAAATAATAAAATCTTTGTTGTAGTACTTGTGTAAGATTTTTAAGTTAGCTCTCATTTCAGATTCAATCTTAGAAGAGGAGCAGTAAGATCTGTAATTAGGTTTTGTTTTTTATGGTGCACCCAAAAAATTTTCTGTACACCTAATTTTTTAGGTTGGGTGCACCAGTGTACCTATTCCCAAAAATGAATTTCGAGCCCTGTATTCCAAAGATACCTTATGTCTGACTTCTCCAGGGCAGTGAGGTGTTGTCATACCTGATGGAGTGTGTGAAGGAGGGGACAGTACTGAGGTGTGGAGGCTGCAGTCTGGTCCTGACTTACATACTGCGTCACCACGTTCCCAGGTGTACCGAGAGGAGGTGTCTTGTCCCTTACTGTGTCCATCTGCAAACAGGGTAAGTTTGTTGACTTCTAGATATCTAATCTATGTTTGATCACTGCTAATTAAAAATCATCCACCGATTGAATTCTCCGATTTTTACTGAGAAATAAAAAGTTATTCACAGATTTCCTGAAGAAATCTGACAGGAAAAGAATGCAAACTAAGAAAGGAACAAACTTGTTGACCGAGAAACAAATTCAATGTCATTTTTTCCAGGATGACATCATCTGTGGAGAAAGCTGTTGATAAAATCAGCTCAGAGACATTCTCTTCAAGTCTGCGCACTGAGATTGTGGCTCAAACATCAGGAAATCAGAACTTCCAATGGGTAAGATTTACTGGGATGTTGAAATTAATTAAGGGTTAATGACCCACCCCGAGGTGAATATGGTGTGATAAAGCCTTGTCAGTTGCTATAACCACCAAATAAAGCCACTGAGTGAGCGCAGCGATGTTGCTGTTCAAAAGTATTTTTCCGTCAAGAGCGGCAAAATTCAGTCAAATGACTGAAGGATGGATGCAGGCTAGAACACTGGTTCATAATAGCTGAGCAGTTTCATCAAGCTCATTGCAGTTGCATTGTCCAGTTGTTCACAGAGCATACCAAGTGAAGTTACTACTGTACAATAAGCCAGATGTTTCAGTGATGTTCCTCCTTTTGATACAGCTATCTGAGGCAGATGCTGCTGTTAAAACGTTAAAGCCCGTACTGCCACTGGGGACATTTGGCACAAGTATCCTGGCATGTGCAAAGGACAAGTATGTGACCGTCAAACAGGTAGGAATCTTTTTTTTACTGAAGATGAGACCACACCAATTTAATTTGTTGGTTCTTGGATTTGTTCAGACAAAATATAAAGCGGCAGGGCAGAAAAAATAGAACTATAAACAGGCCTAGGCATCCTATGATAGCCCCAAATGCTATTACAGGAGCCATGAAATCAACATACCAAGTTAACTTTGTAATTCAAACAATGAACTTCAAACTTTTAATAAAACCAGTGCATTGGTAGATGGAAAAAATGGAACAATTCTGAAAAGAAGGGACTTACTTTAATTGTTGGGGCAGAAATATGAGCATTTTGGAGTTGATTGAGAGATTATAATAATATTATAATTGACATGATTTTTTTTGGCAATTTAGAAAGAAATGAAGCGGCGAATCCGAAAACCAACAAATTAAATTGGTGTGGCTTAACTCAGGAATGGGTGAACAATGTGTATTTTATTGCCAAAAGTTTCTGAACAGTTATACTTGTATGATGCCTTTGGGGAATAACTGACATGTCTTTAAATTTGCAGATGAAGGAGAGCTGCCTGGCTGTGTTGCGGAGGCTGGATCATCACCACACACACCACATCATACAGTTCCACTGGGTGCAATCTGCTGAAAACTGCCAGGGGGAGCTGCAAGTGTGCGCTGCTTTTGAGCAAGGTGGGGCATCCCCAGCCTGTTAGAGCTTTGATTTCTTTCTTACTTATATAATGTATTGTCTTATCAGTCCTTTCTGCATGGATGCAAAAATAAATGCTTATCCTATCCTATAATGAATCCTACTTTTCTGTCCTATGAATCACATACAAAATATGCCTAGTATGACATAAACTAGCAAAAAGAGGATGCCTAAATGTATAAGAGAAAGCGAATTGTGTTAAGGCGACACCAATTTAATTTGTTGGTTCTTGGATTTTTTCAGAAAAATGTGAAGCGACAGGGCGAAGAAAAAAAAAGGTCTAGGCATCCTATTATAGCTGGAAATGCTACGATACGAGCCATGAAGTCAACATACCAGGCTGGGCCAATATTTAAGCAATGAATTTTGAACTCTTAACTCTCAACGCAACTGAGCATTTTTGAGTTGATTCAGAACCAGAATCTTTTTGTTTTTTTGCAAATCAGAAAAAAAAAAATGAAGAGGCGAATCCGAGAACCAACAAATAAAATCGGTGTGGCCTAATGATATAAATGACAATAAAATTTTGTGACAAAATATGCCCAAATTTTGATGAAATTTTTCTCGTGCTGACTTCAGGAGGCAGTCTACAGTGCCTGCTGACAGACCATGGTGGTGGTGGTTTGCAGACAGACAGAATGTGGCAGTATCTGCAGCAGGTGGTACAAGCTGTGGTTTACCTGCACAGTCTGAACATTGTGTACTTAGCTTGGACAGGTACTGTATCTCATTGTTCATGGATCTTTTAAACTAACCCTCAGTGCCTTCAGATTTATGTAAAAGCTAGAAAGTTTTAACGTAACATTTGCAAAGCAAATGCATAACATTTACCTACATTGTACAATAACTGTAGTACAATAACTGTTTATTTCTTTCTTGTTACTCAAACACATTCATATACATGTAATACATGTATACTATACTGTATATGGTGACCAGCCCCTCCAACTCTGTCCTGCTACATTTTGTAATACAACACCACAGGGTGTCTGCTGCAGCATCACTTACCGTGATGACAGACGTCTGGTCCAGGTCATTGACCTCATGTGTTTGGAGAAGAAGAAACTGAGCAAATTTCTGTGAAGGTAAACATAAGTATCATATTTTATAATTATTACACTTCAGAATCTCTTATTTACACAATCCTTCTTTTTCCACAGCTGACAACATAGTCCTGGATAACAGCCATCAGAGGGCAAAGCTGTCCAACTTCTCCTATGCAGTTTCACTGACTGAGGATCCTGATGAAGAGGCCTGTGTGCAGGCTGTCACCGGCCTACCTCCTCAGATTTTGGCACCAGAGGTAAGGCTGCCAACTGATACTTTCATGAAGAGCTGTTGTTTAATACTGGTACATGTAGTGAGAAGAAGACAACAAGAAATGCTTTGAATTTAAAAAAATCTGTCAGGGGCCAAGATTTTAATATTGAAAAGGAGATTAATATTGTTGTTTCCTCATATTTATTTTTCATTACTTACCTGTATTACTTATGCCACATACTTTATTTTGTGCTACAGGTACACAATGACCTGTCAGCTTGTCACCAGTCAGACCTATGGGGCCTTGGTTGCCTGCTGTTCCAGCTGAGGGAGGGCAGACTACCTTATCCTCACCTCAGTCATGACCACCCAGACTCCATCAGACAGAAGGTAAAAATGGAGAATGGAGTGATAATAATAATTTTGTTGATGTTTTATGTCTTTTTCAATGCTAAAGTGCCATTTTGTGTGTATAAAGTGCTATTTTGTATTAATCACATGATGTTACGTAATACAAAATTAATGGGTCAGATGTACAGCATTTCCATATCCTTCATACAATATCTTTAAACATGTACGAATTATGTATCATGTTCAGTAGCCTCTACCAGGCTTCAGAAGTGGCTGAAAAGAGTTGAAATAGACCAAACAGACAGATAATACAAATTTTAATGTATGTCAGGGGAGTACATGTAGGTCCACTAGAGGAATACATTCAGGTGCATCAATTCCTTTAGCGGACCAACTCCTCTGGCCTAGTATCAGAGTGTCTACTTGCCAATTCTACTCTTTCCAGCTGCTTCCAAAGCCTGGTAGAGGTAATTTTTCAGTACAAAAGCTCCACTAGAGCAGTTTTTCTCTCTTATTGTAGAGATTTTAAGCGAAGAACTGGCATGTTCTAATAATTCAGTGGCTTATAATTATTTGTCCAATGCACTCATGTCCCTTACTATCATGTTCAGATTGCTGAAGACGGTGAATTACCCATGATTCCAGAGTTGTGGCAGGAACAGGAGAGGCGACTGTTGGAGGTTTGTTGGCAGGTGAGTGGGGGGGAGGGGGCTGCTTTATTTATTTACTAGTATTTCATAACACGTACCTGGGTGGCCCCTTCAGCATTAATTGTCGATTTCCAAGAGGGCCTAGAGAAACGTAGCATAATACTAACAATTTGTGTAAAAAGACGATTAGGCCACCTGGATCAAAGGAAGAGAAATACTAGTACAACTGTAAAAACTTCTAGAAGTTTTTCTAGTAAAAGTCTAAAAGTTCTATGAACTAGATATGATTAGGATATACCCTTTTTTATTTACTTTGAAAGTTTGAAGAGAATTCATTTATATAGTTAGGTTCACCCCATTTAACAGGAAAAGATCAGGTACTGGACTAGTAAAAGTAATGTTTCAGTCAGAAGTTATCTGTTATGCCTCTAAGTCAGTCCAATTTACATTTTTTTATAAAGCATTTCATGAATTGTCTTTGTTTCAGGAGGAAGCAGCATTAAGACCAACTGCACAGAAATTCCAAGCCCTTCTTGCTAGATACTATGAAAGGATTGATTAATTCAAACAAATTACTGTAAATATATATATGTGTATGTATTAAATATAAATATATCTGAGACAGATTTAAGTCCAGATTTCTGTCCCATAGGCCTGCTGGTAGACAGGCATGGGCTGAGCTGGGTGTACAAATGTATTTTGCTGTACCTTATTGTTGTCAGTTTGAATTCTGAACTACATGTACATGTTGTAAGTCTTCATGCTGTAGGACATATTTTCTATGTATGATGGGCTATTCTGCGCTATTTTCTAAGTATTTGCCTTGAGGGCTTGTTTGACAAGAAAGTACATTGTTCTTTATGAATTCAAATTTGAATTCATTGTCATAATCATGTTATATTTCAACATTTGATTTTATTTGTATATTTCACTATTACTTGTGATGTCCAGAACTAGAAAAGGGACATAGAAGGTGAAGATCAGGTACTGGACTAATGTATGTAAAAGTAATTTTTCAGTCAGAAGTTATCTGCTATGCTTTTTATTGGTGCCAATTTACTCACGGAATGTGTGTTGTGATATGCGGTTCAATGACATACAATGTACACTGAACTACATGTACATGAATTGAGTTTAACATGTAGTGCTTGCATGTTATATTGCTAGTATCAGTTGACAGCTTAATAAATTAGTTGTCAAGAAATGGCTATACCTGGCTTACAGTAGCATAATTTACAGATTCAGGCTAGGTATATGATAATTATGATTGTTCAGAATTTGGTGGAAACGTTTGACCAGCATATCTAATTTTTGATCCAACAAGGGCTTTAAAGTACATGTAATGCAAAAACCATGTAGCAGAGCTAACTAACTTGTAGAAAGAAAGAGTCATGGTCTCAAGATTCAAGTGGCTTATCTTTAATGCAGTTTCCTGTGAATAAACAAAAAAAATACAATACTGCAATTTTTTGTTTTATCTATTGTCTGAAATGTTTTACTAAATCTATATGCTATGAGATGTTTATTGCAGTGTTCAGCCAGCATCTGTCTTTCCATCATTTTGCTGCTCATGATGGACAAGAAATTTTCATCTTTGATGGACACAAACAGACATGTAAAGATATAGAAAGAGATGTCATTAAACTATACTTAAATTACCTGCAAAAATTGCCCCTCAAAATGCAGGAAACAGTATTTCAGAGGGTCAGGATTTCAAAATATTACATGAAACAAAATTGAGATGACAGAAAAAAAATCAGACTGGCTAGAACACTAATTGTTTTGTTCACACACAAAATAATTGTCCATAGTTATGTTTTCTCCTCCTCGGTAGCCTTTTCTGATGTAACAGTTTCTTTTTTCCGTCTCACAACGTTTTGGAAGTACTCCATGTCCTTGATAACGTCCTCCTCAACCTTGGTGGTGTCGTACTCGTACATGAGGTCAAACTCCATCCAGGGTTTTCTGTGGTTGTCCATCTTGTCCAGTCTCTTCTGACTCAGGTGGTTCTGTCTCATGTGTTCCCTGTCGATGCCCTGAAGCTCCACCCTCTCCCAGCGCCAGTACCACGGAGGGGGCTTCAGGAGCACTTTGGTCTGCAGAATCAACATGGACATGTGTTATGTATAACAACAATTTAAGGCCACACCAATTTAATTTGTTGGTTCTCGGATTTTTTTCA